GTGTCTGACTCTTTGCAACCATGGACTGTAGCCTACCAGGCTCCTCTGTCCATGGAATCTTCCAGGCTACAGTACTGGAGTTGGTTCTCCAGAGGATCTTACTGACCGAGGGATCGAACCCGGGTCTCCCAAATTGCAGGCAGACGCTTTACCATCTGAGCCAGCAGGGAAGCCCTGAGTCATCGTTAGGTATACATGTCTCCTCCCTCTTGAGCCCCTCTCCTACTTCCCTCAGCATCCCACCCCTCCAGGTTGTCACAGAACGCTGGCTTTGGGTTCCCTGAATCATACATCGAACTCCCATTGGCCACCTATTTTACATATAGTAATGTATATGTTTCAATGCTATTCTTGCAAATCATCTCACCCTCTCCTTCTCCCAGTGTCCAAAATGTCTGCATCTCCTTTACTGCCTTGCAAGTTGGATCGTCAGTACCATCTTTCTAGATTTCATATATATGCATTAATATATGATATTTGTCTTTCTCTTTCTGACTAATTTCACTCTGTATAATAGGTTCCAGTTTCATCCAACTCAGTAGAACTGACTCGAATGTGTTCCTTTTCATAGCTGAGTAATATCCCATTGTGTATATGTACTATAACTCCTTTATCCATTTATCTGCTGGTGGACATCTGGGTTGCTTCCATGTTCTAGCTATTAGAACATGGAAGCTATTCTAGTTATTGTAAATAGTGCTGCAGTGAACATTGGGATACATATGTCTTTTTCAATTTTGGTTTCCTCAGAGTATATGCCCAGTGGTAGGATTGCTGGGTCATATGGTAGCTTTATTTCTAGTCTTTTAAAGAATCTCCATGCCATTCTCCACAGTGGCTATATCAATTTGCATTCCCACCAACAGTATAAGAGGGTTCCCTTTTCTCCACACCCTCTCCAGCATTTATTGTTTGTAGACTTCAATGATGGACATTCTGACCGGTGTGAGATGATACCCCATTGTAATTTTCACCTGCATTTTGCTAATAATGAGAGATATTTTTAAGCATAAAAAACTCCCACACAATGCCAAATTTACCATCTTAACCATCTTTTTAGGTTTACAGTTCAATAGCAGTGCAATCAATTTCCAAAACTCTTTTCATTTTGTAAAACAAAAATTCTGTACCCATCAAACAACCTTCCATGTCCCCCTGCCCCCACCTCCTGCAGCCCTTGGCAACCAGCTTTCCATCTCCTTCTGTCTCTGTGGATTTAACCACTGCAGGGACCTCATGTAAGTGGAATCATACAGTACACGTGTGTGACTGGCTTATTTCTGGTAACATTATGTCCTCAAGGTTCATCTGAATCAGAATTTTCATCACCGGGGAGGAAGAGGACCCGCATCAGAGGCCACTGTGATGGGTGGGTCTTTCGCGTGCCGCCGGGTAGAGTGAGCAGTTTCTGGGACGAGCAAACCTGGAGCCAGGAGCCCGGTCTTCAGGGAAGGAGGGAGAGTGGCCAAGAGGCCAGAGCACGTAAGCATTTACCTTTCCTGAGACTTTTTCTGTTAGCTGACCTGTAAGGGTGGGGGTGGGGGTGGAGGTGGGGGTGGAGGTGATAATCTCTCATTCCCCAATTGCTGTGGAATTAACGTGTTGCTTAAATAAGTGGTCTACAAATTGTCATTATACAATGACCTAAGTCTTCCTTTCTTTCTCTGAGTTTGGGTGCATAATGGGACCTGTCTCCCCCAGGGTGGCTGTGAGTGTGAAATGAATGCAAAAACTAAGCACAGAGTCACTCAGTTGTGTCTGGCTCTTTATGACACCATGGACTATACAGTCCATAGAATTCTCCAGGCCAGAATACTGGAGTGGGTAGCCTTTACCTTCTCCAGGGGATCTTCCCAACCCAGGGATCGAATCCAGGTCTCCTGCATTGCAGGTGGATTCTTTACCAGCTGAGCCACCAGAAAACTGACATCATGGCATATGTCCCATCACTTTATGGCAAATAGATGGGGAAACAATGGGAACAGTGATAGACTTTATTTTGGGGGGCTCCAAAATCACTGTAGATGGTGACCGCAGCCACAAAATTAAAAGACCCTTGCTCCTTGGAAGAAAAGTTATGACCAACCTAGACAGCATATTTTTTTTTTTATTTTTTTAATTTAATTTATTTATTTATTTATTTTTTTTATCACAACCATAGTGTATCTTTTTTTTTTTTTTTTTACATGTATTCCCCATCCTGGTCCCCCCTCCCACCTCCCTCTCCACCCAATTCCTCTGGGTCTTCCCAGTGCACCAGGCCCGAGCACTTGTCTCATGCACCCAACATGGGCTGGTGAACTGTTTCACCCTAGATAATATACGTGTTTCAATGCTGTGCTCTTGAAACATCCCACCCTCGCCTTCTCCCAGAGTCCACAAGTCTGTTCTATACATAGGAGTCTCTTTTTCTGTTTTGCACATAGGGTTATCGTTATCATCTTTCTAAATTCCATATATATGTGTTAGTATACTGTAATGGTCTTTATCTTTCAGGCTTACTTCGCTCTGTATAATGGGCTCCAGTTTCATCCATCTCATTAGAACTGATTCAAATGAATTCTTTTTAATGGCTGAGTAATATTCCATGGTGTATATGTACCACAGCTTCCTCATCCATTCATCTGCTGATGGGCATCTAGGTTGCTTCCATGTCCTGGCTATTATAAACAGTGCTGCGATGAACATTGGGGTACACGTGTCTCTTTCAGATCTGGTTTCCTCGGTGTGTATGCCCAGAAGTGGGATTGCTGGGTCATATGGCAGTTCTATTTCCAGCTTTTTAAGAAATCTCCACACTGTTTTCCATAGTGGCTGTACTAATTTGCATTCCCACCAACAGTGTAAGAGGGTTCCCTTTTCTCCACACCCTCTCCAGCATTTATTGCTTGTAGACTTTTGGATAGCAGCCATCCTGACTGGTGTGTAATGGTACCTCATTGTGGTTTTGATTTGCATTTCTCTGATAATGAGTGATGTTGAGCATCTTTTCATGTGTTTGTTAGCCATCTGTATGTCTTCCTTGGAGAAATGTCTGTTCAGTTCTTTGGCCCATTTTTTGATTGGGTCATTTATTTTTCTGGAGTTGAGCTGGAGGAGTTGCTTGTATATTTTTGAGATTAATCCTTTGTCTGTTGCTTCGTTTGCTATTATTTTCTCCCAATCTGAGGGCTGTCTTTTCACCTTGCTTATAGTTTCCTTTGTTGTGCAAAAGCTTTTAAGTTTCATTAGGTCCCATTTGTTTATTTTTGCTTTTATTTCTAAAATTCTGGGATGTGGGTCATAGAGGATCCTGCTGTGATTTATGTCGGAGAGTGTGTTGCCTATGTTCTCCTCTAGGAGTTTTATAGTTTCTGGTCTTACATTTAGATCTTTAATCCATCTTGAGTTTATTTTTGTGTATGGTGTTAGAAAGTGTTCTAGTTTCATTCTTTTACAGGTGGTTGACCAGTTTTCCCAGCACCACTTGTTAAAGAGGTTGTCTTTTTTCCATTGTATATCCTTGCCTCCTTTGTCAAAGATAAGGTGACCATAGGTTCGTGGATTTATCTCTGGGCTTTCTATTCTGTTCCATTGATCTATATTTCTGTCTTTGTGCCAGTACCATACTGTCTTGATGACTGTGGCTTTGTAGTATAGTCTGAGGTCAGGCAGATTGATTCCTCCAATTCCATTCTTCTTTCTCAGGATTACTTTGGCTATTCGAGGTTTTTTGTATTTCCATACAAATTGTGAAATTATTCGTTCTAGTTCTGTGAAAAATATCGTTGGTAGTTTGATAGGGATTGCATTGAATCTGTAGATCACTTTGGGTAGTATAGCCATTTTGACAATATTGATTCTTCCAATCTATGAACACGGTATATTTCTCCATCTGTTTGTGTCCTCTTTGATTTCTTTCATCAGTGTTTTATAGTTTTCTATGTATAGGTCTTTTGTTTCTTTAGGTAGATATAATCAACGAATACAGTAAAGTTGCAGGATATAAAATTAACACACAGAAATCTCTTGCATTCCTATACACTAACAATGAGAAAACAGAAAGAGAAATTAAGGAAACAATACCATTCACCATTGCAACAAAAAGAATAAAATACTTAGGAGTATATCTACCTAGACAGCATATTAAAAAGCATTACTTTGCCAACAAAGGTCCGACTAGTCAAAGCTATGGTTTTTCCAGTAGTCATGTATGGACGTGAGAGCTGGACTATAAAGAAAGCTATGGTTTTTCCAGTAGTCATGTATGGACGTGAGAGTTGGACTATAAAGAAAGCACAGAACTGATGTGAACTGTGGTGTTGAAGAAGACTCTTGAGAGTTCCTTGGACTGCAAGGAGATCCAACCAGTCCATCCTAAAGGGGATTCAGTCCCCTTTCAGTCCTGAATATTCATTGGAAGGACTGACGCTGAAGCTGAAACTCCAATACTTTGGCCACCTGATGCGAAGAACTGACTCATTTGAAAAGACCCTGATGCTGGGAAAGATTGAGGGCAGGAGGAGAAGGGGCGAGAGAGGATGAGATGGCTGGATGGCATCATCGACTCAATGGATTTGAATTTGAGTAAACTCCGGGAGTTGGTGATGGAGGCCCGGTGTGCTGCAGTCCATGGGGTCGCATAGAGTGGACACGACTGAGCGACTGAACTGAACGGAACTGAGGTCTAGAGGGCTTCTGGTGGAGCCGCGAAGGGTGAGGAGGGGCGGGGCAGGGGCTGGGAGTGGGCGGGGCGCAGAGCGTGGGGCGGGGAGCAGGGCCAGCAGGGCGTCCCGGTGGCCACGAGGGGGCGCCGCGGGGGCGGAGGGAGCGGGTCTCCGGGCGAGCGGGTGACTCACGGCGGCGGGAGGGAGGGAGGGAAGATGAGTCAGCCGTCCTCCGGCTTCCCGCGCCCGCCGCGCCCCGGCAGCCGCCCGGAGCTGACCCTAGGGAGGGGCCCCGGGGTCGCCGCTAGCAACCGGCCAGGGCCCGGGATTCCCCGAAGCGGGGGCGCGCTGGGCCTAGCTCTCGGCGTCTTCTCCCTCCGGGCCGGGGCTTCGGGAGGAGACTCCGCGAGCGACCGGGGCTGATGATCCAGGGCGGCGGGTGCCAGCTTGGGAGCCGCAGAGGCCCTGCCCGCCCCGGGCTCGGGGTGGGCGGTGGTCCTGCCTGCGGGGCGGGGTGGGGGTGTGGGGGGAAGGAGTGCTTCCCTGGGGAGCCGCTCCCGCCAGGCTGGCGGGGTCCGCTAGGATGCTCCGGGTGCGGTGGGCTGAGGGCGGCGGCGCAGAGAACCGGGTCGCCCCGCCCTGCCGCCAAAGCCGCACCCAGAAAACCTGCCCTGTTCCTTGGCGCGCAGGCTGTTTTCGCGTCTTCCCAACCTGGTGCCTGGTGCCCGATACCCGGTTCCCGGAGAGGGTCTGACTCAGACCTTGGGGGTCAGAGCTGCCCGAGACCTCGCGGAGCCTGGGCCCCGGCCTCGCGTGGGCGATCCAGCACAGGCAGGGAGGTGACTTGTCCAAAAGCCCCAGAGGGGAGACCAGCCCGTGAAAGTGAAGTCTTTCAGTCATGTCCGAATCTTTGCGACGCCGTGGACTGTAGTCTACCAGGCTTCTCAGTCCATGGGATTTTCCAGGCAAGAATACTGGAGTGGGTTGCCATTTCCTTCTCCAGGAGGATCTTCCTGACCCAGGGATTGAACCCTGGTCTCCCGCATTATAGGCAGACGCTTTACCGTCTGAGACACCAGGGGAGTCAATTCGAACCCGTGGAAAGTGCTTAAAATAGTTCCTGGCACCTAGTCGAGCCGTTATGTATAATAAATAATATATATGCCTAATAGCTCATTTTTGTGGGGTACTTACTGTGTGCCTCTATTTGTTCATGGATTGCTTGATTCTCACAACTGCACTAAGACATTAACAGTATTCTTATCTTCATATGCGGGCTAGGGAAACATGCTCAGAGAGGTTAGGTAACTTGCCCAAGATCACACAGCTAGGAAGTAAGTGTGTGGCAGTTAGATTCAGACCCCCTGAATTCAGAGGCTGTGTGCATGAGGCTGACTTCAAATATTGGTGAGGTGCAGGTGTTAACACAAAAATTAACTAGTCGATCTAAGAAAGAAATGGGAGATTTTTATTGGTGCCAAACTGTGGGGTTATAACCTGAGAACAGCCTCTCAGAAAGCTTTGAGAACTGTTTGCCCTGTTAGGGGCTTCCCTGGCTTCCTTGGCCTGTTAGAGGTCAACACATGGTTGTGTAACAAGGTTTGAGAGAGGGGGCTGTACATTAAATGACAGGTTATTGACAGTTTACATGATCCAGATCCACAGGCGCAAAGCACAGTCATGGATTATCATCTTACAAGATTAAGAAAGAAGTTTATCTCTTAAGGAATTGCGACCCTTTATGAGATTAAGAAAGATCATGATAGAAGAGGAGGCTGGGTTAATGCAGAGACATCACACATGTACGGACACACACACATGCAAAAAGGGGAGGAAGGAACCCAAAAGGACAAAGAAAAAATTAATGTTTAAATTATGTCTTGCCTTAGAATTTGGATTTTATTTCATCGTAGGACTATGCTGCAGGTGGTTTGCTTCTCAGGGTGTCTGAAGAGCGATAGTGTTAAACTGAGAGCTAGCTAGATGCTAGGGGTGGGGGTCTGGTGAGCTCTGTCCCTCCAAACAGTGCCCAAGTTCTGCAGTTTCCCAGGTGCCACAGGACAGAAGAGAAGCACTGGGTATCATCTTGTCTGGTCATTGGCTAGCCCTCTGCTCCCTGGTCTCCGGGCCCCCTCTTCTGGCTCCTTTGGTGGCCCACACTCACTGCTTGGGGGAACATTGCCTTTAGCAGAGTTTCCCAAATACCTGCTAACAGAGAGAGACCGACTTGAGGATGTTAAACACACAGACCCAGCCCGTGGCAGAGGGGTGATTATCAGCCTTGATCTTACATTGGTGCTCAGTGGACTTTATGCCTAGGTCCTGCCCCCTACAGATTCTAATTAGATAGATTCGGGGGTCCCCCTGGACCTTGGGGTGATCCTCGAGTGCAGCTGAGATTGAGCACAGCTGCTCCAGTGGTAGAGTCCGGAGGGTAAAGGTGGCCTTAGGAATCTCTACGTTTAAAGAAGCTGCTCATGTGATTTTCAAGTTGCTCCCCTGTTTGCCAACCTCTGGTGTAGAACACACTTTCTTCTAATTGTCTTTGAAGACTGCCCCAGATTCTTACAACTGAACTATCTGCCTTCTGCGTGTGAACTGCCTCGCAGGTTGTCTTGGAAACTGCATCAATTCTCCCATGCAAGAAAGGGTGCAGGGTCCCTGCTTAGCTTCTCCTAAGCCCCTACCTTAGTTTATAGGCGTTCTCTCCTTACCAGAGACCAGCATTCTCACCCATCCTGTCAGCTTCATTGCTTAAAAGTTCTGGGCAGGGTGGCCCTGGTGGTCACCTGGAGGCGGAACTCTTGCACCCTGAGGATGTTGACCGCCCAAGGAGCTCAGGGAACCCTCACGCCCATCCTCTTTCCCCAGGTCTCAGTAGATGGTGTCATGACAAGTGAGCTGGCTCGAGGGACTGCTCCCCCCCTCCTCTGGGACGGGATTTAGCCCTCTTTTTTCCTGTTGTCTTCCGCCCTGAGGGCTTCCTAGGTGGCTCAGTGGTAAAGTATCCTCTTGCCAATGCAGGAGACTCCAGTTGGATCCCTGGGTCTGGAAGATCCCCTGAAACAGGAAATGGCAACCCACTCCATTATTCTTGTCTGGGAAATCCCATGGACAGAGGAGCCTGGTGGGCTATAGTCCGTGGGGTCATAAAGAGTCTGAAAAGACTTAGCAACTAAACAGCAACAACAATAAAGTAACAACTTCTGCCCTGGAGTAAAGTTAATCTGTCATCTCCCAGCTTGATAGCCAACCCGTGAATCTGGCTACTCTGAGTTCTTCTGGTTTCTTGGTGCTCATGTTAGGTGTCAGGCTAGGAGTTTAGGGACCAGAGTTCTGGACTGTGTGCTCCAGGGTATATTACGACCCCCTGTGATCTTCTCCCCATTACTCCAGGTCCTCTGGCACCCCTGTGACACTTCACTCAGATCACCCCCTTCCTGATCTCTGTCCCTGCCCGAGTGCTCCACCCTCCACCCAGAGCTACCATCCATTGTTCTCCTTCGGAGTGGATGCATCATGGGAAATCGCTGGGGCCAAGGAGGAAGGAAGGAGGGACGGGAATGGAAGGGGCGGGTGATGGAAAAAGTGACTGCCAGCCATTGCCTGGACGTGAGCCTGGAAGGCAGGGCAGGGCGGTTGCTGTGGTGATGGTCAGAAAAGCATGCTGCCACTGGTTTCCTGTCCTTGGCACTGAAGGCTACTTGTGTGTCTTTCCTGTCCTGCTCTGATACCTTTAGGCTGCCTCCTGGGACGGGGTCCAGACCCCTGGATTTAACTCTCGCACCTCAGGTTCCCAGCCTGACCAAAGGAAGGTAAAGAGCATATGCTGGGTATTCCATCTGCCCCTGCAGACCTTCCAACTTTCTCCACGTGCTCTGGTGCCCCAGCCGACCCACCTTTGTGGGCCCTTCCTCCTGAGCTCTCTTGCTCTCTGGCTTTGGGTCAGAAGCCCAGGGGGCCTCCCCATCCCTAGCCTCCCTAACCCCCTAGTTGAGGGGGTCTCCCTCAACCCCCACCTGCCCCTCCATGATTAGCCCCTCCCTGGGCACCCCTTTCTCTCTATTTGCTGCTGGAGGGATCCAGTTAACAAGGAGGGAGGGATGAAGGAGGGCAGGCACTTCAGTACTCCTTTCTCTGATCAGGCTCTGGCAGGCTGGCCATGTGGGCGGGGTAGCCTTGAAGGTGTAATCTGAGCTGTACCCAGAAGGCTGCCCTGCCCAGAAATAGCTTGGCTGAAATCCTGAAGTCCAAGGGTCACTCTCTGGGTTAAAGAATTCCTCTGTATTTCTGTATTGCATATAGAGTTATTGTTACTGTCTTTCTAAATTCCATATATATATGCGTTTAGTATACTGTATTGGTGTTTTTCTTTCTGGCTTACTTCACTCTGTAAAATAGGCTCCAGTTTCATCCACCTCATTAGAACTGATTCAAATGTATTCTTTTTAATGGCTGAGTAATATTCCATTGTGTATATGTACTACAGCTTTCTTATCCATTCGTCTGTTGATGGACATCTAGGGTGCTTCCATGTCCTGGTTGTTATAAACAGTGCTGCGATGAACATTGAGGTACATGTGTCTCTTTCAATTCTGGTTTCCTCGGTGTGTATGCCCAACAGTGGGATTGCTGGGTCATGTGGCAGTTCTATTTCCAGTTTTTTAAGGAATCTCCACACTGTTCTCCATAGTGGCTGTATTAGTTTGTATTCCCACCAACAGATGTATAGAACAGTCTTATGGACTCTGTGGGAAAAGGCGAGGGTGGGATGATCTGAGAGAGTAGCATTGAAAGATGTATATTATCATATGTGAAACAGATCACCAGTCCAGGTTCGATGCATGAGACAGGTGCTCAGGGCTGGTGCACTGGGATGACCCAGAGGGATGGGATGGGGAGGGAGGTGGGAGGGGGCTTCAGGATGGGGAACACATGTAAACCCATGGCTGATTCATATCAATGTATGGCAAAAACAACTACAATATTGTAAAGTAATTAGCCTCCAACTAAAATCAATAAATTAAAAAAAAAGTTTCTCTGTAAAGATCCCACATTCCCTGGAAAGGTGAGTACATTACTTTCATTCATTTCTCAATGTACTTTATAATAGTTTCAGCAGATAAGAAGCTTGACCATAAGCTTCAATATGCGAAGACTATCTTCCTTGTGTAGACGTGACATGGGGTCTGGTGAAGAGTAGGCTTAAACAAAATCTGCTGAATAGATTCATCCCCCATTCAATAAATGTGTCTTGAGCACCTACTGTGTTCCAGGTGTTCTAGATGCTTGGGACACATTAATGAACAAACAGATAAAGAGCTCCTTCAGGCAGAGAGATGAACAGTATATTTTATATACATATATACATATGTGGTGCTTCCCTGGTGGCTCAGAGGTAAAGAATCTGCCTGCAGTGCAGGATCCGTGGGAGATGCACATTTGATCCTTGGGTCAAGAAGATCCACTGGAGGAGGGCATGGCAACTCACTCCAGTATTCTTGCCTGGAGAATGCCATGGACAGAGGAGCCTGGTGGGCTACAGTCCATAGCATCACAAAGAGTTGGACACGACTGAAGTGACTTAGCACGATACATGTATATGTGTGTGTGTCCAAAGCCTGCTACCTCCTCTGAAGAACCTCACTGAACACCACAGTCTCATCCAGACTTCCTCTGTTCCCTTTGCTACAAGCAGACTATGCCAAGTTGCTCTTTGTGACCCCATGGACTATAGCTGCCAGGCTCCTCTGTCCATGGCATTCTCCAGGCAAGAATACTGGAGTGAGTTGCCATTTGTTTCTCCAGGGGATCTTCCTGGCCCAGGGATTGAACCCAAGTCTCTTATGTCTCCTGCTTTGGTGGGTGGGTTCTTTACCACTAGCACCACCTGGGCTAAG